GCTACATGCATCTACATTAATCTCTTTCAGTAGCCACAAAATGAACAGCAATCCTAGGTTTTGTCCTTATTACTGAAGTCATATAGATGAAGATGGATCCTGTTTGTTTTTGGTTTTTTTTTAGAGGTATAACTACTTGTACAGCAGTATGGAAACTGAGGAGCCTGCATATTTAGCTCAGACTGTGAAGTGCATGGAATTGTACTAATTTAAAGTTAAGGTATTCATACAGTTAAAATTTAGTTTATTTATATATCCATCACCCCCCCACCCCCACCCCCCCCCTCCCCCGAAGCCCTGCACAATGTACAATTTCATTCTGGTGCCTTTTGTGTTTTATTACTTGCATTCAATTATGCCACTGTTGTTCCCAGTTGTTTCCTATCGTTAACATTATGACTGTCTGTCTTGTGTCATTGTGCCCCCCCTTCACATTACCTCTTCAAGGTTTGAGGTTTCTTGTGCTTGCTTGATCTCAGACAACATCAGAGCTATGAAACCTACTGTGTGCAAATTTTACTTTTTTAATAAACTCCTTGAGTTTTATCAACAGCTTCAGATGATTAACTAGTCCTCTGGATGTGTGTGCAAGTACTAGAAGTCTTTTGTTCAAAGCTACCTTAAATGAAAAATAAATTGTAAAAGGAGACCATTATCCATAAGTAAAACCAAGAGAGGGGGAAGGGAGCAGAGTAAGCGTTGAGCTTTCAACCTTAATTCTGTATTTCAAGAGCTCTGAATGCTTGGTTTGTTAGCATTAGTGCTGCACTAACTTAAAGTATTTTTCCATGAGTGTGTGTGTGTTTAACCAACTAAGCATGAAATCCCTTGCTTCTGTTTGTCCCTATTAAATAGTGGCAACAAAAGAAACAGACAGGAGATGGGTCCAGAACAAAGCAGAAATAATGGAGTATTTCACCCCAAAAAGGAGAGTGAAACGAGAAGTACAATGAGTAGGCAAAGACAGACTCAACAGCTGGAGGCAGTTTAATGTGTAGAGAGTACTAATTCAGGGACATTTGCTGCCCAGATCTTCAATCTGTGATCTCTGAGTGGCACATATATCAGAAGTGTTTGGCCATCCCTGCTATAAACACAACATGCTTTTCCCAGAAGAAATCTCCATAGGGCTTTAAAGGGACACTGTCTAGGATTGTCAGCATAAATACTGATGTGCCTAAAACCCAGAATCATCTTGTTGGGTTGGGAATCTGTGAGGAGGAGTAGAACTGGCTAGCTTCTTCCCTTAACTCTTAAAAAATTGTGATACATGTGCATTCAGCATTCCTGTACACTGACTAGTAAAATGAAAGTAACAGTGTTGCTGAATATTGCAAAGATTTCTACAGACTGCAGCACCTATTACTCCCAGTTTTCTGGATTAATGCATTCTTTTTTTTCAAAAACTGATTAAATGCGTACATTTTTAAAGGTATCTTACTGTTTTATTTTCTGTACTTAAAAATATGTTTTTTCATTAAAAAATGAATTCCTGACTCTCCCTGCCTGCCTTTTTTCATGCCTATTTCCCTTATCCAGTGGCTACAGCTTTAAGTGTGATATTCTCAAAAATTATGAAAGCTGACAATTTGACATGTCATTTCCTTTATACTAAGTAAGGTCTTACCCTGATAAGATGAGAAGGCTCAGAAAAATGTTCAGCTTTTGTTGCTAGCAGTGGGGTCTGAGTACATGACCATATCCTAAACAACCTTTCAGTGACTGTGCCGACTAGCTCTGCTTGACCCTGTATTTGCAGTAGTCCAATGTTTTCTTTTCTGTCTGCTCCAACACTTTTTCTAAGAGGCACTGTTTGGGTTTAGACTTTGTTTTGCAATACCTAAAAGGCATGATTTTATTGCCCATTGAGCAAATCAAGTTTGGGAATCAATGGAGGAGACTTCCAGGTCTATATCTGGCAAGTTAATTTGAGCTTCTTTTATGCCTTTTGGGTTGGCTAAATGGAGTGGAAAGTATGATGGTTTGGGAAAGAACTGACCACTAGTTGTGAGTTAAGCAACTCTCTTAATGTTTTTTGATGTATTTGTGTTTTGGAATTCTGGAATTACTTCTTTAGTTACTGGTATACTTTTCTTGCAGTTTTGTGGTTTTCAGCGTGCATTGTAATATGTGACGACATCTTAAATAATATGTAGCTCTAGTCCATGGTTATAAAATATTTCAGGATGCATTTCCTGTCTATAATGAAATACTGAATATAAGATGCAATTTTATTTGCATGGTCTGTGACTTCTGAATTTTCTACTCCCCACAGATACTGTGTAGCCACTAGATGCAGCTGCCACAGTTGTGACAATAAAGGTTTAGTCTCTATTTAATGGATGCTTAAATGGCCCTAACTTTGTTAGGGAGCAGGTAACTTGAGGCTGCTAGAGAACAGGAAGAGAGTGATCAGACTGTTTGTATAGTGATATTTCCAATGGGAAAGATGTTCATTGCGCCTGAGTAAGGAGAGTTGCAAAACAACTTTATAAAGTCTAAATCTGTTTTTACAAGCATCCTCTACAATGTACTCTAGAATTTCTCATCTCAGCTTTTGCTAAGTGCTATACACAATAGCTTAAGTTTCAGCAGCTTTTTGAAGCTAGAATATTTTAAAAAATGTTTTCATTACAACTAAACCAAGTTACTGAAGGAAATTACCCTAGCAGAAAGACAAAGTCATGAACATAGCAAAGATAAGGGAATCATGCCAAATAAAATACAAGAGTGGTCTGGGGGAAGCCATGTTCCTGTCTTCTAGGGGTCTGTCTGAAATTTTCATGCCTAACTATGCTTAATAGTGAAGGATAAGTGAGGGGTGATGAGTCTATGTATGCTACTTTGGAGATTTTTGATCATGTGTTTCATCCACAGCATATAAAGATTCTCCAGTCTAAGTTGGACTTAGGGAGTTTGCAGTAGAGAGATCCTGAATTTCACAAACCTGCTTGTCACCACAGAGCCTCCGTATATGTTTTACAAAAAGCAGAAATTATCTTTCACAGAACTATGTGTTATTAGTTGCTGTCAGGGCTTGAGTGTCACATTTGGTTGCATAAGAACCAGCACAGTGGCTGGACAGAGAAGCACAGAATTCCATGAGCTCGTCTATTCCTTTATGTTTTTCAGTGTCACATCAAGAGGTTGTTGCAAAGATGCCATGATGACAGGGACAAATGGAATCCTTTTAAAGACCGGCTATAGAGGGTCTGACACACAGCCTCAGGAGCTCTGGCAAGCTCTGAAGGATTTCATGCGGCCCTTCAGCTTGATATCCATTAAGTGGAAGCTCTGTTTAAAGGAGTTTATCTTTTTCAATGAACTCAGTTGGCCTTTCTCACTTAAGTACCACTGTAGAATGTTTGCTGTGGCTTTGTAGAACCGGTGAGATGAGTATAAACTAGTAAATTAATAGAACAGCAGTAAATAAAGCTAGTAGACAAGTTTATTCCTTTGAGGTATGGACATATACAAGGGCAAACCTTAAAGAAAATAATTTTTGAATCAAATCATCATAGAGGCAAAGCTATTATTTTTAAAATCTGCTGCTTTTATTCAGCTTAAATATTATTGTACATATTCTTACTTCTTCTAAAGTGTTGCTTTTCACTCTTTTAAAAGATGCTGAAGTAGTTTTGTAGCTTTCACTGAATTTATCTTTTGCTTCTTCAAAGCAATGTAAGCTGTTTTGGCAGCATGTGTAATAGCTGACCATCTATACTGAAAGAATCCAATTAAAGTTCTGTGTTGAGTGAGCCGTCCTTTTATAATCACATTCTCACTGGACGACTTGCTCACAGGGTCAGACCCCATTGTTTGCATTAGAGCCTTACTGACATCAGTTCAGTTTCTCTGCTCCTCCAGTAGCCCTCAGTGAGAAAACCTGGGCAGTTGTCAAGACAAACTAGGTTAAGGTTGTAAAGACTGGATTTCTTTTCCTGCAATCGGTGCAGTGCAGACTTTTGGTTAATATGGAAATAAAGAGCTGGGGCTATGTAAAAACAGAATGTGTGAGAAAGGGCTGATTGCACAGATGTGTTTTCCCTTCCCTATTAGAGCAGATGTCTTCCTTTGATATAAAGGTGGCAGATACTGGGGAAAAAGTTATTTATGTCTATGTATATTGGAGAGGCAGAAGTCTACCTTGGAAATCAGTGGGTAATTATGCTCCATACATAAAATATAAATTTCCTAGCTTTCCTGGAATTGTATGCTTTTAGATTTTTACATTAAAAGTTTCTAAATTGCATATAATCAAAGAACTGAAGAACTTAATGAGGGCCTAAGAAACCCTTTGGAAAACTTGGCCTACTTTGGCCAAGTTAAGAGAAGTGAGCAGAAATCTGAAGTAGGCTTTGTGTAGAGAGATTTTGTTTGTTTACATTGTGATTAATTTGTACTTCTCCAGGGAAAGTGAGATATCTGTCTGGCTTTTACTAGCTCTATGTCCAGAAAGATTTATTTGTTTATTTATTTATTTATTTACAAGCTGTTGTTCTGAGCTGAAATGCGTGACAAAGCAAGCTTAGAAAGGATATTAGTGGAGCAAAGGTCTCTGATTCTTTTCTGTGACAACAGGTAGAGCCTGGTCAGTAGCTGCTCAGGACTGGCTCTGATATTCACACCAGGTATTGCATGAAATTAGCACAGGAAGGAAACTCATGCATAATCAGCTGCAGAGCTGTATAGGGCATGGGCCTGTCTCGTGGTGTGAGCAGTTTGTGCTACTTGGGAAATGGACACACAGCTTTTTGATGTTTAGGTGACAAGTTAACATGTATACTTGTTTTGTTATAAAGTTTTTCTAGATTTTAGTTGAGGTGATCTTAGTCTATTAATTGTTGACTTAGTCAAAATAAGAAGTTGGAATAATACTTGCTTCTCTCCAATGCCTTCAAGTTTATAAACTTCCTTCTTAGAAGGTTAAAGAAAGAAAAATTTGCCGTAAAAGAAAACTAACCTCTTCCTTTTGTTTTTGTTTTGCCCTATCCTGGCAGTGTTTTAGAGCACTTTGCTGCAAGGGACCGCCACCACCACGACCTGAGTATGACTTGGTTTGCATAGGCCTCTCTGGTTCTGGCAAGACAAGTCTTCTATCTCAGCTCTGCAGCGAAAGCACAGAGAATATCGTGTCTACCACAGGTAGGATGCTCCCTTTGTTCCATGGTGTGCTGGAATATTGCCCAAAGATGACTGCTGAAAAACATAGCAAAGGCTGTAGAGAACTTCAGCCTACCTATCTTGCTGTTAAAAGTACCTAACGGATCACTTTGCAGCTACCACTACTTTCTTTCAGTATTTGTTCATATATTGGAGAATATCCATGAGTACATACAATTTGGAATATGTTAAACGTCAAAAATGTGTGGTCTAATGAGGCAAAACTGTAACATACAGTTATACTGTGCTGTAGACACACATTAAAATGTTTGTTTCTTCTCATTTTACTTTTGATTTTTAAAGTCTCACTATGTGTTGGAGAAAAAGGAAGAGAATATGCTGTAAAATAGAATAGGACAGTGATGCTGTGAGACTCTAATTGGGATTTGTTTCTGTACGTACTTGGTCCATGCTGCCTTGTGGTATATGCTAGCAACCAAAAAAAAAAAAAAGGAAATATGAATTTTTGGTGATAATCCCAGCTTTTTAGATGAGCAACAGGCTTGTTTATGTAGTAAGGGCAGATTTTGATCAAAGAATTAATTTACAGAAAGTTTCAGTGGTACTGAGGAGATACATAAAAACAGACAGTACAACCACAGATAAGACATATCTTAAGTCCAAAAAATTTGAATAGGCATCTTGATAATGGTGAACCAGAATGCCTAATACTGAAAAATATGTTTTGATTGAAAAAACCCCAAAACAACAAACAAAAAGCAAACAAAGAACAAAACAGCACCAGAAAAACCAGAAAAAGACACGTGAATTAAGAAGAGGGAATACCTGGCTGGAAAGTTCAGAAAGAGGGCAGATTAGGTCATGGAGGTTGAAGAAATCAGGTTCAGTGGCTGCAGCAATTATAAAGGTTGGTTTGCTGATGGAACTGATACTAAGTGTTGTGCAAGTACCTTGTGTTTACAGTAACATGGCTTTGTGCTGTAACTGTGGTTCATGGGCTTGAATTTCATGATTGTGCCTTAGCAACCCTAACTGCTTTTCAGTGTATGTTTTCTTAATTTACAAGAACATAAGATTATTTTATAGAAATGTAATTAAAATGTAAAACAGGTACAAGAAAATAGTGTTTTTATTCACCTGTGAATAGTTAACCCGTGGCCTCTGTAATAGTTAGAGAGATCTGACAGCTGTGAGAGGGTGACTAACTCAAAAAAGTTAGAAAGAAACTGTAGAGTAATGAACCTTTTAAATTTTTTTTTATCCCTGTCTTGAGCTTTATCTCTGGGATTAAAACAGATTATACTTAAATATTTTAGACACTGAAATAAATAGTAACAGCAGTATAAATAGAAGTGTAGAACAATCAGAGAAAGTAATGAAAATACCGCTAATTAAAAATTAAATTGATTTTGTTTTTTTAGACAGATGCAATAAAATACCATTATATGATTAGGTAACTTGAGGAATGAAAACCAGCTCGGGAGAATACCAGGCAGGCAAACCAAAATGATGCACATCTAGGGTACTCAGTTTATAATAAATCTTAAATGTGGCATATCAGACAGTATTGTGGAGAATCCAAGAATACAATGTGACCACTTCTCCACTCAGGTTTCAAGCTATAATGTATATTTTTGGTTTTTCATCAATGCCACTCAGGTCCATTCCATTTTTTCCCTTTTTTTAGAACGAATTTAGAATTTCTCTAAAGATAACAATCCCCAAGATATTTCATAGTTATTCCCTTCAGATTTTCTTGTACTTTCCTCTATTGTATCTAGCACTGATCATAGTAGGAGTACTGTAACATCTACCAGGGAGGAGAAACATCTTGTTTCTCTTAAATGATAACTAATAAACGTGAAGTGAAGCACATTTTCTCAAAACCTCTTAACTCAGTTCACAGGTATGTAATCATGTCGAAACTACTTGTGCTAGATGGAAATAAATTTAATGTCTGTCTGGATATTTTTTGCTGAAAGAGCACACATAATTTTTCCTTTATAAAGTATTATGTATGCTTATATATATGTATGCACTGAACATGCAAAATTTAGTGTATAATACATTGGTATGGCTGGGAGCCTTTCACATTCCCTTTCTTTTGTCTGTCTGAATTTTCAATTAAGGGTAAAGGTCACATTTTGGTAATTTTTTTTTTTTTGTTTGGTTGGATTTTTTTAATTTTTATTTCAGTTTTAAGCAAAAATCAGGCTAATAGAGGACTCTTAGATATTTCCAGTATGCTTATGACCATTGTAATCCAACTAAGGTCTGTAGAAGGATCTTTCATTTAATAACATTTATAGAAAGAATTAATAATCCAGTTGCAACCAAAACCTATGGAGTTTAAATGGAAGAATACAACGATTTGAATTGCACATTGTTTTCAAGGTCTCCTAAAATTTGGAGAATGATCACCTCGTATTAGTGGTAGTCTGGATTGTCCACTTTAGCTGTAGATGCAGTAAAAGATGATTTTATAGAAGTATATTCTGATAGAAGGTCTGGATGGAAGTTTCGTGCTGAATTTTGTGTGCCAGGTACTTATAATTGAAAATTACATTGCTTATACTGATTTATTCTTGTTCCACTCTATGGCACTCCTCCACCTCTTACCCCCTTCCCACTGCCTTTTAACTTACTTTTTAAACCTATTGAAACAGAATTTCTAAGGCAAAATCCTGGTTCTTGATGGAAAAAGTTGTTTTTTCTGAATATGTGCAATTGATTCCAAATGGCCCCTTTAACAAATAGCTTACTAATGTTCTGTATTTCTCTCCTTAGGTTTTAGTATAAAAGCAGTGCCATTCCAGAATGCAATTTTGAACGTAAAAGAACTTGGAGGTATGGCATTTATTCTTTTGTTTATAAAACATGCATGTCTAAATCTCATCATAACTGTCAGTTGTTTTAAATTGTTAGTTATTTTAAATTTTAAAATGATAGATCAGTACAGCTGTAGTTAAAAATCTCAGCAGATTTTTAAAGCAGATAAAGCAGAGAATAGCTGTACAAATCCTGACCTCAAAGAACAAAGGGTGAAAAGCAGGAGGAGTGGAAGGCGTGTGGTGTATCTCCTTAATGTAATTTCTTGGATTGCAGTGTTTGAGTTACACAGAAATACAAACTGGACTGTAATTTTAGTATGGCTCACATGGCAGCTCAAGGAAGTGTATATTCCTTGTGTTTATTGTATGTATAAACTTTCACTTATGAGAACTGGCTCAGGTAACTATGTGAACATTTGTCAAAACCAATATATTTACTGCACCACTGAAAGTGTTGCAAAGGCAGCCAACTTATAATGAGTTATATTCTTTGAGAGCTGTTCTCTTGTTGGGTTTATTGGATTCTGGAGCAATGGTTGTTTTATGGTTGTAGGATTTTTTTAAACTTTTCTATATACAGGCAACCTATTTGGCTCCCAATTCTCACTCTGAGTCTCAAGTGAGGTTGTTTGTTAGAAGCAAGAAAACAGTCTCCTGTGGAGAGTTCTCATGGAGTCTAATATTCTTCTAATTTGAAACCCACTTAGATCTTCTTCATATTCTAGATTTCTGTATATCTTATTTATTATTTATGTAAACATTGTAGACTTAATATTGAGGATATTTATTAGATTTTTCAGTGAGTTTGTAACCTCTCCTAAATTATCTGGGGTAGAACCTGACTTGGTTCTTTAGGAAAGTTTCAGGAAATCTAGTTGCATAGTAGTTGTCTTACCTGAACTTGTTCCAAGAAGGCTTTGTGATAAGCACATGTGAAAGGCATAGCATTTCCTCTTTACTGCCACTAGTCCATGGATTTAAACATACATGTTCCTGTTTGAGCATGCATTCTGCAAAACAAAAAAAAAAACCCAGTAAGTTTTCTTTCATAAAGGGACCACTCAGGGATAGTGTAGATACTGCTTGAGTGTATTATGTGCATTATGTGCACTTAGTTATAATGTCACTTTTTGGATTTTTTAAAAAAATAGGATGAATCATTTGCACTCTAGTTTATATGTTCTGCTACCTAAGCTATATGAAATATTTAATTCATGTAGATAAATACAATTTTTTAATCAAGAACTGAATCTGTGATTCAATAGCAGATAGCAGATCCTTGTTAAAGTCTCTTAACATTTTCTGATCATATGGGTATGTGTGTTTTGAGAAATCTTATCTTAGTGGAGAGTTTTGGCTCATGATGAGGAGTAATCCAGAATACTTGATTTGTCGTTTTCATCAATTTATCTCTTCTCAAAGACAGAGGGATTGTCAGAATTTTTTACTGCACCTTTTACTTCCTTTTTCCTTTGACCTATAGGTGTTTGCATGTCTGTATGTAAAACTTATCTAATTTGATTTCTTATATGAAATATTGTAGAAAAATGCTAGTTCCCTTACCTTTTTATTGTCTGGTAAGAGGACAAAAGCAAGCTTCCAAAAGTTTTGTTCCAAAAGTCGGTGGTCACTAGTAGCGTTCCCCAGGACTCATTATGGGTCCCAGTTTTGTTTAATATCTTTATTGATGGTCTGGAAAAGGGGATCAAGTGCATTCTTGGTTTGCAGATGACACCCAATTGGGTGGGAGTGTTGATCTGCTGGAGGGCAGGAAGGCTCTGCAGAGGGATCTGGACAGGCTGGATCATGGGCTGAGGCCAATGGTGTGAGGATCAACAAGGCCAAGTGCCAGGTCCTGCCCTTGGGTCACAACAGCCCCAGGCAGTGCCACAGGCTGGGGCAGAGTGGCTGGAAAGGACCTGGGGGTGCTGGTGAGAGCAGCTGAACAGGAGCCAGGCTGTGCCCAGGTGGCCAAGAAGGCCAATGGCATCCTGGCCTGGATCAGCAATGCTGTGGCCAGCAGGGCCAGGGCAGGGATTGTCCCCCTGTGCTGGGCACTGCTGAGGCCACAGCTCCAGTGCTGGGTCCAGCTCTGGGCCCTCACTGCAGGAAAGGCACTGAGGGGCTGGAGAGAGTCCAGAGAAGGGCAATGGAGCTGGGGCAGGGGCTGGGGCACAAGTGCTGTGAGGAGTGACTGAGGAAACTCCTCAGCTGAGGGATTATTTAGGCTGGAGAAAAGGAAGGTCAGAGGTGACTTTGTCACTCTCTACAACTGCCTGAAAGGAGATTGTGGCCAGGTAGGGGTCGCTCTCTTCTTCCTGTCAACCAGAGACAGGATGAGAGGACATGGCCTCGAGCTGCACCAGCGGAGGTGCAGACTGGACATCAGGAAGAATTTCTTAATGAAAACAGTTGTTAAACATTGGAATGACCGCTGAGGGAGTCACCATCCCTGGAGGTGTTCAAGAAACAACTGGACGTGGCTCTAAGTGCCATGATCTAGTTTACAAGGTGGTGATAGGTCAAAGGTTGTACTTGAAGATCTTAGAGGTCTTTTCCAGCTTAAATCATTCTGTGATTCTCTAGTCAGCATTTAACCTTTTAGCTGAGAAATGTGTTCCTGTTTGATGAGGGTAAAACCTGAGCTTTCTGGAGTAGGCATGGTTTCTCTCTTGCTCCTATATGAAAATAAACCAAAACATATTTCATTTGTCACCCTAGGACATCACTGTTAAATTTTGTTCTGGAATTTCTGCTTCTGATGTTGAAGAGAAACTATGTTTTGCCTGATTGCTGGAGATTTTTTGTCTTATTCCTGTTGTTTTGCCTTCAGTTGTGATGCTATTGTTATATAATTTCTCTTTACTGTAGTGTGGAGGTCTTGTCCAGACATTTGATCTTGGAAACTTGAAGGAAGGCATCTTTCTTTAACAACCACTGCCTGTTGTTACATGTTATTCACAGAATGACATTCTATACAGTTTTAATGTTCTGTTGCTTTGTCTTTTTAGGTTTAGGTAATAGGAATCTTCATATGTCATCATACAGTAACATATTAACAGCCAGCATTTAAAACACAGCAGAAGTTATACTGCTTAAGGTTCTTTTCATCACCCAAGCATTTATATGAAACAGATGCTGTGTAGTATCCTTTCTGTTTCATTGAAGCAGTATTCTTCCTTGAGGTTAAAGATGGTGCTAGTTTTTACTGTGCTGATTGTCTCCAAAGCTGATCATGAAGCCAGGTTTTATTTCTTCGTTTCTACAGGGATTGTAAATTTTCAGGCAAAATATAGAGAATATAGTCTCCCTTCTCTAATCTATTCAAGGACTGATTATCTCTTCATCCTCCTTTAAGATTTAGGAACAGGGAACAAAATTTTGTTGTGCTCTCTTTGCAGAAGTTTTTCTTTGAAGCACACGATTATAGAATATTAAAAATTCAACACAATTTCTGGTTTTTTATTGGGTTTTTTTCCTAAGACAGGAACTTGCAGTCCTAACAGAAAATAAAGGGTTTATCCAATTTGATAAATGGTAAATGTTTTGTAAAAACCTAGAATTTGATCCTGAAAAAGTAAGAATATATAGAGAGCTTTCAATTCTATCATTAGGCTTTCTTGAATTACTTGAAAATAAAGTCTTGCTTTATTTGCTAACCAAGTTGAACTGCCTGTTCTCTAAGTTGCTATTTTGCTGTACCAATAATCCCTTCCTTGTCCCCAAGAATCTAAAAAATAATGCCATTTTTTCCCCAAAAAAATTTGGTCTAAAAGATAATAAGTATAATTTAAATTATTGTGGAGATGTGCCATGCCCTAGTCCACATTCTTTCAGAATGTACTCTTACCAGAACAATTGGAAATGTCTGTCTTTATTATGTGACTCAGCTGAGTAATGATATGGAAAGAAACTACGCTTGTGATGATTTCCTCTTACAGTGCAGTAATTTGTTGTGGGAACTATGGCTGACACTGTGTGTGATGAACATAGAGAGGAGTGGGAGAAGACTCTAAAAATAAGGCAGATGATAATGTTTGTTGTTCAGAAGATTCTAACAGTGTTTTGCTGAAAAAAGTTTGGGATGCTGAATGCTGAGGTTGGTTCTCAAGATAGATTAATGGAGGTGCAAAGGCAATAGGAAGCTTTTTCTTTGGTTCTAACAAATTCCACCACTGGAATGGTGAAAGCACCATTTATTCCCTGTTTTTTTAAGCCATTTGCACTTGTAATGCTTTCAAAACAGAATATAAAGTTCCGGTTTAGCTATTTCTTCAGCTCTGTATTAAGATTTAAGGTCCATGCTGGAAAACAACTAAGAATTTTTAGTTGTCTTTTTAGAATAAGTTATTTAATAATTTAGTTTGTATCTTGTAAATAGAGGCTTAGAAACTGCAAGTGAGATGCCAAATAATGAGCCACGTCAAATTTAAAAGAATGATTCTGGTTGTGAGCAGGTCTTCTTCTTACAAAGTTTAAAAATGCTAACAACATGCTATAGGATTTAGTAATGTTCCCTCTTTTATTTATTTAAATATATTGTCTTATGTTTGTGTTAGGTTTTGTGATACACCCTAAAGCTATTTTCTCAAAAGTAGAGAGTATATGTTGTGTAGTCATATTGGAAAATTCATGTACGACAAAAATCTGTTAAGTGCTTAGCAAGAGTGGAGTGGTTAATATCAGGAATGCTCTTGTCTCCAGTTGGTTGAGCATGCCCAGGAAAAGAGATGAGAACTTTCCTCCCCACTCCTGTTACTTCTTAAGCTTGATTACCAAAGTCATAAATTCACATTCTTAGGCCAGCTAAATTAATTGTCTAGGTGACAGCTTGAAAACAAATAGCTTTAAATAGGTTTGGTTAAACAAAGCATGTGTATTTTTGCCTTAATTTGGAAGTAAAGAGCAGCAGAAAAGAGAGTAGGAGGAGAAGCCACACTGTTGTGCAGTCCAAGTTGAATTGAAAATATGAAATTCTGGACAATACAGCAACAGTTGTCAGGTAGTATCTGCCTG